ACTACCAGCATCTCCTTTCTTTTCCACCTATCCCTCTAACTACCCTCCCAACCCGATTGCTAATCTTCCTTCTATAGTTCCCAGTTTAATTGACACCAACCGAAGTAACCGTGGAGTCACAGCATCTACATCCACCTTCTCGTAACACTCAACGGACGCCTATCGGCAACAGTCACTCATAAGGCCACGCTGTCCCGTTACCCTGGCGGCGTTCAACGTTCGCGCTATAAGACAAATAGGTCAACAAGCTGTACTCGCACGTCCGTTTGACATTCTGGGTATTTACTTGTGCTGCTTATCCGAAGCTAGGATGAATGACTGTTGAAGTTGTTGAAATAACTGCACAAGGCTTGTCCTCTCGCTATTGGTTGTACGAGTCCGAAAACACTGATGCGTCAGTCGCTGATCAAGTTGGGATAGGTATCGCATTCAGCCTCAAGACTGAGTGATCGTTGGTTGAATTGATTCCGGTGAACAGCCGTCTGTGCGCAGGCCGTTTGACGGCATCAACTAAGGTTGATTCACGAAGTAGTACAATACGCTGTTTGTTTGTGGTTTCCGTTTACGCTTCCACCAACTGCATTTCTGATACTGCCAAGGACACATTCTACCACGTACTGAACACGCTGCTACGCAGTGCTACCATTTCAGGTATCATAATGCTTGCAGGGGATACGAATGCAAATGTAGGTCGTCTCGGCTTCTCAGAAGCTCAGCCAGGTGGTAACTATGGGCTTAACTCCAACCGTACGGACAACGGCGAGCGTCTTTTGCAACTGTGTTCGGAGCACCAGTTGTTTCTTAGTGGCACTGCTTTTAGACACAGTAGGCACTGAACTGCCACTTGGCGTCCTCTTGTAGCTGACCGGCGATGGACCCAAATTGACCACCTTCCCATAAGGTACAGGTGGCGTGGTTCCCTCTTGGATTGCCACTCGTACTGGCATACCTGCGTCCACTTTGATCATGTCTTGGTAGGCTGTCGTTTCTCCATGAGCTTTGCTGGTAGGCGCACCAAGCATCTCCGATTGGCACCTACAAAATTGTCTAAGCCCTCGGTAAGGATGCACTGCATGCCGAACTTTTGCTGTCTTCTGCTAGTGACACTGAGCTTCAGTGGAATAGGATGTCGGCCGCTAAGCACGACGCTGGAGCATTTGCTTCTGGTACTGTCAATCATCACCGCATCAATCACTGGATATCTGAGAGGTCGGTGAGCCCGTTGGAATCCAGAAGGCGAAGTTTACAAATCGAGGCCAGAAACCGCTGACAGCCAGTGTAGCTTGGCACGTGTTTGTGCTATCATGGATGAGGGCAGTATCGTCAGCCAAATCAGCCAGCTCGGAGAACACCGGCATACCCTCATCCGCATCCCGGGCTAGAAATATTCACGAATTTCTATACTCCAATTTAGGAACTCGTTCGCCTTGGAGCAGCTGCACGCCTTTCCAGTCGTGTTCTGTGAACGCGATCTTTGTAAATTCGTCAGTAGCCAAGTCAGGGAAGAAAGTTGACAGCACGTATCCTTGTCCTACACAAGTGTAGGTATTGAAGCGGGGGGGGGGAGACAGTTTGCCGCTAGCTCTCATTTTGCTTGAGCTATACGCGTAAAGCGCTCGAATAATATTAATATACTCTTTAATACCGAATGTAAGTCGATATTTGAACGATTTTTCCTTTCTGCACACGTGGTGTCGGCGTGTAAAATAGTTATTCGGCTTTTGAAGGTCACATGCAAAATCTACCCACGAATTCCCTATACAGCTTTGCTCCAATCTCCCCTCATCACCGCTAGTGACGGGCGGTATTCCATATGAGCTTTGAAGTGCCTCATTTATTCGTATGGTGTGCCGTGGCTGTCTAACCCACTGCACTAACTTTTTCTCAACTGCAGGAAACATGACTTTTCTACTACGTGTTACTTTCTTGCTTACAAGCATTAGTGACAGTTCTACCTTTTTCTTTCGCCATTCTGTCATTTGCTATACATTCACGATGAAATGGTGTGCAACTACAAAATCATCGGATTGTTCGGCAAACGCGATAACTTTTCATTTAAAGCCAGCAACATGTGCGCATCGTTTCTGTTGTGACATTTTTTCCACTTTTCAACGATGTTAGATGATCGTACGAAATGAAGACATTCCCATGTGGATCTTGTGACGTCACGTTAGCGCTATTTTGATTAGCGAATCGGAAGCGTTTATACATTGTGCTCATCACAACTGACCAGATTTCGCTGAACTCACTCAAGTGAGAGCAAGCATGAGAACGCCAAAATCGTGGAGGAACAATTTCGTTTCTTTTTGCTGCTTTTTTGGGTCGCCTAAAATAGGGACTTACGACTTTGGACAAATTGGATATTGCGAAGTTATACTGTCGGCCTATCCATGGACGGACTTATATTCTCTTATATACGGCGTTTTTCTGGCACCTTTCCTGAGTAGACAGTCCCAAAAGGCACATCGATCAACCAAGTGGAAGGCACCTTTGGTGTCAAGGTATACGACAACAGTGGGCCGCCAATATATGTGACTGTGCTCCAACGATTGACGCAAAGTGAAGATGTGATTGATGCAGCCTCGACCTCAACAAAACCCGGCTTGATCCTCACGAATCTAGTCAGTCTGTGAAGTATTACAGGCAAGCAATTTGCGGGCGATGGAGATCAGACTGATTGCTCTGTGGTTGCCGCATTCTGAACACGAGCCTCTCTTTAAATTGGTACTATAAGGGAGCGGTTTCAGTCTGTCGGGACAGTTTCCTGCTCCCACACTTTCACTAGTAACTGGTGCAACTCGTCAACAAGAACCGAGCCCCGGGTTTCAAAGTGTGCTTAATGAAAATCATCTGGTCTCGCGGTTCTATTCAGCTTCAGCAGTCCGATCTTACGTTCGACTTTTGAGCGGTGTATCCAAGGGGGGAGCCGAGGGAGCAGGCGATTTGCGGCCGGCGAGAAATCTGACGATATCAGCCGGGCAAATTGTTCAGCCCAACTCTCCAAACGTTTTGACGAATTGTGAATACGCTGTCCACTCTCATCACATGTAGTTTCACTAATACCAGGTTTCCTGCCGCCCGTTTTCCGCATCAGACTTAATGGAGCGCACACGGAGATCACAAACAAATTGTATCTATCATCTGCATGAGTCCGAATGCTGAACTTCACTCAGTCGATTGTTAATCCGGAAGCGGTCCAGCAGCGCGGCCTTGGATTTGCCACATCAGTAGTTATGGACTCCAAAGTATGCACAAGACCAGGCTGTTATACAATCTACATAAGTGTCAGTATGGCAGATATAACAAAAACCGAGTCCGTATAAGGGCCACTGGTTGGGATCTATGGGCATCGTTAAAATTATCGTAGTTGGATTATAGAAATTGGAATCAGTAGGTAACGGAAAACAGTGTTTGTTAGCACATTAACTGGTGGCGCGTGAAGAGGGTACATTAGTATCGGAAACAAGAGTAGTTGTGCGCGGCGTAGTAGTTGGACGGTCTCCGTTTTTTCAGTGGACATGTTAATATCTGGTTGCTCAAATCATCATTCATCATCATTATACACATCAGCTAGAGGTGGGAAAACACCTCCACTATTGGTTTCTCAAAACGAAATATTGATTTGCCTTAGGGGATACTACAACCGAGAATGGATTCCCATCGGACGGTTTTTGTAATCTCTTTAGGGGATTGTTGGCACTGATCTACTTCAATTGACCTTGGCTGGATTCACGGTTGGTTTTTATTTCACGTACCCACAAATCGGTCTCACCCCAACGGATTTTGCCTTGTTTGATTGGTAGTGGGATCTTATATTCCTTCAGTATTTTGGAATTACTTTCTTCCATGCTCTGGACAGTGCACGTTGCAGTTATCGTATGAATGTTTGTTATGAATAAATTGTCTGTACTGTGATAAACCCATATCAGACGGATTTAAGTTATTCAGCTGAACAATCAGTTGTGATTACCCGTGTATTTTTGTGCTTAGTTCCATCTGTCAGCTTTTTGGCAGAATCTATGCTCTAAGACCTCTCAGATAGTACTGTTTTATCTGCTTGTTTTCTATGACCGCAGGTAAATGCCAATTGGCATTGGTTTCTATTGACACGCTTATTCCAAATGAATCGTTATTCAGATGCCTGAATCTCAGGATTTCTCAAAATGCTCTATGAGTACCGGGACTCTGATCCAAGGCACGGGGACCGATATTCCTAGAAACGGTTTTCTCTTACCTTCCAACACGGTCTATGACTTACGGAAATCGAAACTTCGAGCTTCAAAGAAATTTGAAGTTTGGCCGCTTATTTACGGCACTGGAATTGGGACCGCCGTTGTTTTACTGTCATCTTTCGTAATCCACATAAACGCTAGACAGCTCTTCCACCTATATACTCGGAGCCATTTTTGGTCTACCTTGTATGCTCCAGTGCTTTTTTCTGGCGCCTTATATTGGATAAGCTTTGAGGGCCTGATAACCCGACGTGTCTTGACCAGGACTTCTTTTGATGTTGAAGGGTATGGCGATTGTGACCTTTGTTTGGAGGTTCGTGGCTCATTGATCCAGGTTAGTGCCAACGTCATAATGCATCTCGAGGTTTTTTCATCATCAAGTTCAACATCAATGGTCCGTGGTGTCGAACATGTCTTTGCTTTATCTTTCTTGATTCTACCATAACTAAATATTTTTGTTACTTCATGTAATGTAAGACTACACCCAGGAGACCTATTGACTTTTGCGCATGCCCGTGCATTGTAGACATTCAGACAAAATGTCTAAGTAATCCTGTTGTAATAAACATCGTCAGTGTCCAGGGACTCGGCACATCACCATTTGAAATTTTTGACAAAACAATGTTTGATTACCAGGTTTATCGTGAGCAGGATGGAATATTCGGTTCATGAGAATGATTCGCATCATATGGTCCTGAAATTAGTGCCATCGTCCAAATCTCTAACAGAAAGTTGGCCCATGTTCCAATTATCTTTTTGTCGCTGAAACTCGCTTAGTACGCCTCAGTATATCTGCTAAGAACCTAGATCGACTTTACTTTTACCCTATGGGCATTGTTACTACGCTCCTTTCATTGCTACTCATTGGCTGTTAATTTACTAACGAAAAACGAGTTGCATAAGTCAGGGTGAGTACAATCACAATGCTACTATTACTAACAATAATACTAATACTACTACTACTAATAATAATAATAATAGCACTACGTATATTTTCTGATTGTACGAGGAGCTGTACCCGGAATAGGGACAGATCATTAATGCAATAATGAACATTCTCGTGCATGAGTGATGCAGGTGTTCTAATGCGTCTGTGCCATTATGGCATTCTGAAATATTTTTTGTTGGCGCTGAGTCTTGTGTTGCAGCTTTTCTCACTGGCCATATATGCTTTGGCTCATCTTGGAAGAACTCATGTTCCCGATGAAAATGTAGTCACTATAGAGTTCTGGTTTGGAAAATCCCCATGCTTAATGCGAAATGTTCTTGCATTAGTGCAAGTCTTGGTAGTATTTGGTAGGTGATCCTATAGGACAGCGTATATTAGGAAAAGGTAGGTTGAATAGCTGTCCTGGCACAATTAGTTTACAAGTCTTGTTGCGAAGCCACCGAGTGAAGTGGTGTTGCAGTTCTAATGTAGACAGATAAGTGTGTATTTTGTTTGAGATTGTGCATGAGCACCAAGTTATGTTTCAGCCGTCCCAACCAAAGACGCTCCAGGTTAAGCCGCTGGCAACGCTCCTGACGGCTCAAACTGGACGCTTTACTAAACAAACGTTTAACGAATGACCTTTGTATGTTTTCCAGAGCTTTTCTGTCATCTATTCGTGTGGTTCCATAGACGATGCTACAGCATTCAAGGATGGGAAATGTGAGGATTTCGTAAAGTTCGATTTAGACATGGACTACGTGGATTTTCTCGCATATGTTAACTGTTATGTTTTTGGTTTCCTTTACTCAACCACAGTGTAAACACATGGAAGGTGAGAAGACGAACAAGCACTGATGCAAGATGTATCTTCGTGTGGGAAAGTCCGGGAATATTGAACGTGGTACAATGGAAAGAAAAGAGCTTCGCAGTCCAGGATAGGATCAGTGGCAAGCTGAAATGAAGGAAAATATAGTTGTAGTTAATGAACATAAGTGTCAACAAAGGGAATGAATTCGTTTAAAGATAGCCCTCTTAAAATTTCCCCTTGGGTCGGATGTTCGTATGGTTGCTGTTGTGGATCCAGCTGCATAGGCACACGCTGCCGTCTGATATGATCTATCCCTTATCTCGGTGTGTACTCGACTGTATGGATTGGCCCGATGACCTAATCCGGGGGCTTGAGCCTCAGCAAGAGCTCAAAAATATCCAGGGGAATGTCAATAGGAAAAGTACGGCAGTGAGGCATTGTTGTTTAGCAAGGGGACGAACGCAACTAGTTGGCATGGCGGACCCATATTGAGGAGTGTACATCTACTTCATAGGTAACCTGGCTCGTGCGGCCTATACTCAGATCCTGGTCAGTTGTAAATAAGTGGTAGAATACGTGGATTTTTTAAAAGGCTACCATGAAACCGGGCATTCAGACCCTTGGAAATAAATACTGCAGTTACCCTTGTGCCTGTGAGCAATTTAAGCAGCTAGTGTTCCTAGGTATACCTCAGCATTTAGAAAGTTCTTTCTTTAGCAGAGTCAATAAAGTGTACTCCTAAAGCTGTTCATTGAATTTATCATGAGAAAAGTTCAGTCACTGGGCAAAGTTAATGAAGTCACGAACTTACTTCTTCACCTAGGATATACTGATAGCAACTCTAATCTGGGAGCATATAACATAAGCTTCTGGCTTAAGGAATCATCGTCATCAACGGTAGTACATCAGCTATTTGAACGGATGCTAGTCTGCCGTACAACTACGACGACTTACAGAACGAAATACAAAAAGAGGGAAAGAAGGGGGACCTAGCGTGCAACTTTAATGCCCTAAACAACCATTCAGGATCAAGGCGCCTACTGCTTATGAAAGTAACAAACAATCGCTGACAGCTGGCTATCGTGTAAAGATAAGGCGGCATCGGTGCGATTGCTCCTTTGTGGCTTTCACTGACCCGTGTCATAATCAGTCAGTATCTAGCAGATTACTCAGCACCAAGCACATTACAAACAGACGATCCCTCAACGAGACGACAGCAGACACGCCACTGCTACTGACTGCGAGCCATGTCCTGTGACATCTGGACCCAAACACAAGGCGGGTCACGTGGACTGTAGCCAGGAAGGCGAGACGGACTGGCGGTACCGAGTTTGATTGCCAGTGACTTCATTTCCTGCTGCTAAGTTAACGTTTGCCAACATTGAGCCTTGCGCTACCCCACATCTGACAAACGAAACAAGGCCCTCCTCAGTAAGCGGTGACCAGGCATAGATAGTACGTGCTGAAACCGACGCAACTGATTCAGCTCTATCTGTTGTCCTAATGAATTAGCCTCCTCATCACTGCTTAGCACTCGCCTACGCACATCATCGTTGCGGACACACTGGTGCCATCCGACACCAGCAACGCTTCGCAGATCGCGATGATCAAAGACTTGACTACGTCGCGGTTCCTCAGATCGAAGTAGCCAAGTCTCAGTTCCATAGACTAGGAAGGCCCTCTCTTTGGCCTTGTAGACACGGCGTTTCAGACCGAGAGGACCCATTTCTGACCCTACGGATTCAAAGACTGTTTTAGCTCTTGCAATGTCCGAACTGATTTTAGTGCTTATGTGCTAATCTTGACTGATCCAGCTGCCACCTCAAGGGAATTAATCAACAGCCTTGAGTTCCTCGACATTAAGGTGGCATCAGGTGGCTAATGGTTCTGTAACAGCACTTTGCATTTTGTGGGTGCGAAGCGCATGACATGTGATGGGACCACGCTTGAGAGGTTATTCCGGGTTGGTTGGTCTCCCCCAACATCGTTAAACAGCGTGGCAATACCATCCGTGCAATCTTAATCTGTTTTAGTAGTACTTATTGCGTGAATGAATTGAGACGCGCAATCTCAACGTGGACTGCAATTCGCATTGTAGTTAACCTTGACCATCCGATCACTGGACCCTAACTGATGAAGCTGCTGTATATTTGCTTTTGCCCGCCTGAAAACCTTGCCTTTCCACCTGGGTTGATCTTATTAGGTAGTAAGAAAACACAATTGCAAAGAGATCTCTTTTCGGTAACTCACGTCAGGCAAATACGTTTACAAGGATAACTGGGATACGCATAAGCTAATAAAAGCTGAAACGAAAGTAGAGGTGAGTTTGAATTTATTCATACAGAAGTTAAGTTGATCGGGCTAATCGCTAAACCTTGTGTTATCGATGAGGGCTGACCTTATTTGACCCCACTTGACACAATTCGCTGATCACTTCGCGAAGCAAATTGGGTCAGCCGGAAGTGATGCCACCTTTGGTCTCGTCAATGTTCCATGCTGATGGATCCTTATCACGGCCACGGCAGTGCGAGAGATCGCAGTAGCACCCTCTGCTTGCAACGTTCCGGTTGCGTTAACTTGATCGCTATTAATTCCGCAATCTTAACGAGGCGTCACTTAACCCCCCCCCCTAGGATATCGTTTTGACACGGTGTAAAAGACGTTGAAAGCATCATTAGTCAGAATTTCGTGTCCACTCTGAACCAGATGTTCAAGGATGGAACTTCTGATACTTCCGGCAATACCTTTTCGTAGAGACCCGGGGCAGTGCTCAGCTATCCTTGTTGACAGACGCGTAAACGTATGTCCTAGGTACTTAGCACCACAGGTGTAAGTAAACTGATATACCACGTACGATTCGGACTTGGCCGGTAATCTGTCTTTAAGGCGCTGAGTAATAAATGGAGTGGTCTCAGCAAGAACATGTGAATTTGCGCCTGGGTATGTTCTTCTCACTGCAGTGGAAAGTAGTCTGTCCAGTAGATGGAAAGCGATGTCACCGTTAAACGGAGCCGTGAGAAACGCATCCATTTTTGGGACTGTGATGACAGGTTCACTGCGTTCACAAACAACAGCGTGTTTTTGATAAAAGAGGAGGGATAACCGTTTGAGAACAGCGTTTTAAATATGGGTTCCTTCTCGTCTGCTAGCGTCTCCGGGCTGCAAATTTTGGGGGCTCGGTAATACATGCAGCGGACCAAATTACGTTTATACCTCAGAGGCACGAAACTCAGCAAGTTCGTGTTTTGTCCAACCCAAGAATCCTTCCAGAAGACCCTTGTCTCAAGGCAGCCGTCTTCTCGTCCCACCAGTAGTACGTATAGGAAAGACAGCTTTCCTTCTTTTTCGATTTCTTTGGTGTGCACCGTTGTTGATCGAGTAAACCAACTAAATCAGCCTTGAAATCACAGAGAACAAACGTGTTCTCCATATACTTGCAGTAGAAATCTAGTGAAACAATAACAATTTGGGTAGGACCACATTCAAGCTTTGCGAGGATGACGTCGACGAGAAGAGGTCCTAGAGGCGAATACTTAGCAACTTCGTCAATCTACCGATAATAAGTTCTGTCAAACAGGAACTGTCTGTTAAAGGT